TTCCTTCCTTCCTTCCTTCCTTCCTTCCTTCCTTCCTTCCTTCCTTCCTTCCTTCCTTCCTTCCTTCCTTCCTTCCTTCCTTCCTCTTTCCTTTCTCTTTCTCTCTTTCCTTCCTTTCTCTCTCTTTCTTTTTTTTCTCTTTCTCTCTCTCTTGCTTGCTTGCTCTGTCACCCAGGCTGGAGAGCAGTGTTGCGATCCAGGCTCACTGCAACCTCCGCCTCCCAGGTTCAGGCAATTATCCTGCCTCAGCCTCCCAAGTAGCTAGAATTACAGACATCTGTCATCACGCCCAGCTAATTTTTGAATTTTTAGTAGAGATGGGGTTTCACCATGTTGGCTAGGCTGGTTGAACTCCTGACCTCAAGTGACCCACCCCGTCAGCCTCCCAAAGCACTGGGATTATAAACATGAACCACTGCCTGGCCTTAATCATGTTTTTTTCTATTATGACTCCCCATTACACAAAGAATACCATTTAAACTTCATAACTAGCTTTCAAGACCCCTCCATGATCTGGTTCCAATTTTCCTCATAATATTCTACTATCCTCCATTGTATACCCTGAATTCCAGCAAAAATAAACCACTCACCTTCTTTGTTCATGCTTTCCCCTCTGTTTATGATGTTCTTCCCCAAGTCACCATTGTAAACTCTAAGCAATCTCAAAGACATTGTCGGACTACCACTTCTTCCATAAAGTGGTCCTTGATCTTTATGGCTGAATGTAACATTTTAACCTTCTGAAATCTCATAATAGCTACCATTAATTGTGCATAACTGTATCTACAAGATCCTCTATTTATCCAATACTGTCTACGAATGGGAAATACTGCATCTGGCCTATGCTGTTGGAGAGAAAGGCTGCACAGGAAGTCTGGCTTACACATTTCTGTTGTATAGCTGGAGTATCTCCAGTACCATTTAGATCCCTTTACTCTGGGCCCATCTTTAAATCATAATTAATTATCCAGTTCACCTAGTCATTGGCCTTTTGGCTTTTCAAACTCTGGTAAGCTTGGTGTGCATATATGCCAATCTCCTTGGACCTGACCATCTCTAGGTCCAGGATCTTTATAGCTGAGAGCGGATTGTGAGCCATAATGATCTAACCTAGCTCTCCTGCACAGTGGGAACTTCTTGGGAATCCAGCAAATTAATTTCTGATATCTCTGACCATTCTATAGCCTTTATCACATATTCTTTCATTTTGGTAAACATTGAAGTCTTTTATGTCATGTATAGCTTTCTTCATGTGAGTTTCTTAAATATCTAAACTATATTTTCTTGAGGGTAGAACCTGGCTAGGACACAGAGCACCTTCCTGAATAGTAGCTGTTCAGTAAATATCTGTTGAATAGGTTTTTTTTTTTTTTTTTTTTTTGAGATAGTCTTGCTCTGCCCCCCAGGCTGGAGCACAGTGGCACAATCTGGGCTCATTGCAACCTCAGCCTCTCTGGTTCAAGCAATTCTCCTGCCTCAGCCTGCTGAGTTAATGGGATTACAGCCACGCACCACCACACCCAGTTAATTTCTGTATTTTTAGTAGAGATGTGGTCTCGAACTCCTGACTTCATGATCCACCTGCCTCAGCCCCGCAAAGTGCTGGGATTACAAGTGGGAGCCACCATGCCCGGCCAAATAGATTTTTTAAAATGTGTTTCATTTTCTCTCAATTTCTCTACTATTCTCAGTGTGGGGTGGGGGAGAATGACCTAAACCAAATTTTTTATTATAAAGATACTCTGCAAATGTGCAAGAAATATATCCCTCACTCCATTGCCTCCCTTGGAACAGTCAATTCTCATCACAGTTCCAAACCAAATTATAACACATGGAAATCCAGTGGTGCCAACCATTTTAATAGTAAATGCCTTACCACTGTCATCTACCTGTTCATTCATGGATTTAACAAACAATACATGTCATTTGTGTCATACCTCATGCAAGACACTGGGGATCAAAAAGAATTAAACATAGTTCCTATTCTCAAGGAGCTCACGGTTCACTGAGACAGACTATCAACCAATAATGTAATTCAACATGGTAGGCTGAATAATGTAAATATGTTAGAGATTTATACCAGGTTTTTATAGAAGCACTTATGGAATCTTCATCCAACCCTTTGTGTAGATGGAGGACTTTTGAGAGGAGTCAGGAATGTTGACTCAGGAAGAGTTTCTTAGAGGACTTAGTGCCTGAGCCTGACCTTAAGAAGGAGTAGGAGTAAAGGAGGTTGGGGAGGGGACAAAAATGCTTGAAGTCCTGTCAGTTGTCAAAGTAATGGAACAAGAGTCCATGCCGCATATCAAGATGTGGAAATTACCTGGCTTGACAAATTTCAGTTCATCTTCAGCCCTTTATCATGAGAGTTGGACAATTTAGCCAGGCCTAGAAATGGAAACCTATTAGTAGCTTTCTAGTCAAACTCTCTTTCACAGTATTATCTTCTGTCCCAACCTTCAGGCAACCATGTGCCCACTGTATACATGAAATTAGCCTCTCTGATATTTAGAAGCTCTACTGTGAACATATAATTGTTTCCAGCTTGTTCCTCCCAAATGAGTTGTGCACTTGAAACACTTATAGTATAATGAGTATTACATTAAGATATAATACAGGTAGAAAGTCTTTGATTCACACAAGTTTTCTCCTATGTGATTTAATATATGAGAACATTCAAGTTTATGACAGCCAAATCATTTACAATGAGACAGATGTTAAGTTATGTGTAATCTAGTATCCTCTACCAAGTCAAAGAAAGATTAATTCACTTATTTTGACCATATAAATATTTTTCCAGTTTAAATGGAATAACAAATTTCTTCCCTATATTACTTCCTATTCCAAACATTATTTTATTTCTATTCTTTTTTTTAATAACTTATATTGAATGTTAGTAAAATTACTATCATTTTAATAGCAACTCTTATTTGTTTATACTACTGTGTATGGGGTAGGAAATGCTACCCCATACACAGTCTATACTTTATTAAAATTATTATATCATTACATACTTTGTAAAGCACTTATAATATTACCTGGCATATATTGGTACTAGATTAGTGTCTATTAAATTTAGGTCTAAATTCCTTAATCTAAATTATTCAGTTGCAGAATTTTGAAGCTGCATGGAATATTAGAAATAACCTGCTCCAAATCAATCATGCCACTTGTGTGGAAACTGAAACCCAGCAGAGCTGTCACTTTCTCAAGGCCATCCTACTGTTTATTATTGGTGCCTGGCCTAGAGTCAAGGTCTTTGAACTCCTGGGTCTTTGCTAAGCTCACCACACCCAGCTGAACCCATTTTTTAAGTAACTTTAAAAAATTATATGAAGTGCTTGTAAATGGAATATATGCTTTTTAACAAATTTACTGGCTGGGTACAGTGGCTCATGCCTGTAATCCTAACACTTTGGGAGGCCGAGGCAGGTGGATTCCCTGAGCTCAGGAGTTCGAGACCAGCCTGGGCAATACAGTGAAACCCCATCTCTACTAAAATACAAAATATTAGCAGGGTGTGGTAGTGTGTGCCTGTAATCCCAGCTATTTGGGAGGCTGAGGCAGGAGAATCTCTTGAACCTGGGAGGTGGAGGTTGCAGTGAGCCACCATTGTGCCATTGCAGTCCAGCCTGGGCAACAGAGTGAGACTCCATCTCCAAACAAAAACAAAAACAAAACAAATTTACTATGCTCAAGGTAGGCTTTGTAAAGGCAAGACACCTTAAATTATTTCAGAATTATATTCCCTAGTTCTTTCTTTCAACAAAATTCACCAACTACTCACTTTGTACCTGGCATTGTATGATCTAATAACCTGCCGTAATTTTCCAATGTTCTGGAGAATAATAAAGAAAAAAATGTATCATAAATGATAAATATAAAATGTAAAATTATTATATTTTCTAATTCCTAACAGAAAAAATTTCTCTTACTTAATTAGCTTTTAATATAATTCTATGCAAAATACAGTAAGAGACAAATCTGTTTCTGAAATGGCAAAAATACATGCCTCTTCCTTGGAATTATGAAACTGGAATTTATAAACTTTTAGAAATTAACTTAAAATGTTCAGGTTAACTTAATGTCAGATTCAAATGTGAAATACTCCATGAAACGGAATCTCCTATTTTTTCATACTCTCTGTGGTAGAACCCACACACAAGAGACTAATTTAGGTGCCCTCCAATCTTTCTTGGCTGCAAGACCATCAAAGTGCTGTGAAAATCAGGGAATAATAAACACCTCAGGTTATCAATTTGCCCTCTAAGCTGATGAGGGAACAGATATGTGCCATGAAAAAAAAAAAAAATTCTCAGAGGCCACCTAGCTACTGACAGTAATGACTCTGAATTT